GTAAATACCAAACAAGTCCGCACCGGTGGCACTGAGTAAAGAGTGCATCAGTCAGCGAACGTAACAGAAGGAAAAAGAACCGGTACAACAGGACTGTGTGGGGAAATCACTTCTGGATTTAAAAAGTGCTGTCCTGGGCAGAGCTCATTTCGAGGGACACTGATAGGGCAGCGCTAAACTTCGTCCTGAGCATAGGAACAAACAGAGATATTGGCGATTTTAAAGAATCAAACAAACAGGAGCACTCACACGTGGTGCAACTTGTAAGATAAGCTACAAAGCTGGGTGCCCTCGCGCGCCAGGTCTCAGACCTCACCAGGCAGGCGGCCAGGAGCAGGCTGCTTCTGCAGCCAGAGTCCTGTGGAGCTTGGTGCGTTATGCACTAATGTGGCTTCTCCTGAAGCCTCTGGCACTGGCGCTGAGCTGTGGGGTGTTCCAGGGATTCCTTACGGCTACTCAAAACAGTCAGGACGGTTTCTGGACGGTTGTCTCACGGAGGTTCAAAGGGACCTGCCCACAGCTCTTGGAAGGGAGACTCACCAGCGTCCTGGCACCCGCTTAAACCTAACGTGCCTTAAGAAGCTCTGAGTGACCTGAATTTGTGTGCGATGGTGCTCTGCGCCCTGGAGAATCAGAACCAAAATCACCAGCAACGGCTTTCCTCCCAGCCCAAGGCTCACGTACGCGGAGAAGGCCATTTTCCACATTTTTTGAAACTTAATCCTCTTGTGGTTTTGGACACAAACACTGTCTGGCCAGAAACGTTGTTGCTTTGCTTGCAGAAATCCAGAGAGGTCTGTTTCAGAAAAAGAAAAAGGGCTTGTGAGTGCCTTTGAATTGACTTTACCTGTGGGTAATTACCAACAAGGGAAAACCCATATTTAAAACCCAGTTGTCTCCATTGTGAGTGATTCTAATGATATGGCTGTAGGCAGTATTAGGGCCAAAATCTGGGAGTGCTTTCCAATTGTAGGCAGGTCCCTTTGTGATGCCCAGCATGCAAAGGCTGCATTTACACAGACGCCGAGGACTTGAAACCCTTGCAGAAAATGTGGCTTTGTGTGTTTAACTGCTGTCTCCAGACTTCTCCGACGTCAGCTCTAAGTGTCCAGTTTTGTTCAAGTCACCACCTGGGCAGGGAATTTGAGGTGGTGCTGCCCAGACGCCAAAGGGGCACCGGCTTGGCAGCCCCGGGAGAGCGCTGCAGAAAAAGGAGATGTCTCTGGCTGTCGCTGCTGGGACTGCAGGGTGGGCTGATGGCTTTCAGCTAAGGACGACCCGAAGGATCTGTATTTCGGTTCGTTCAAGCCTGCAGGTAACTGCTGGAGGGTTTGTGCCCCCCTGCAGCTTGCTCCAAGCTCAGCGCGCAGCACTGTTGTCGCTGCTAGTGGCCCCCGGCTAATTAACTTGGACAGCGGTGCCAAAGCCCCGGGGGGAGCGGGACACGCTGCCCTCCTGCAGCGCTCGGCTCCCTGCTGCAGCTCTTCTACAAAACAGCTCTTCCACAGCTCCCAGGGAGCCTCACGCCGAGGGAGAAGTGCGCTCCTTACAGAGCCGGAGAACCTGAGGTGCCAAAGGTCCCAGGAGTTACCCAGAATCACGGAACAGACCACGGTGAAATGGGACAAAGGGAAAGACTCTTCGGATTCCCAGGACGAAGCCCAACCTCCTGGAACGTGCTTCAGGATTTAAAGCTTTTTATCGCTGGCTGCTGAAACAGACTTTTTCTAGCGAGGCCATAGAGAAAACATCGAACAGTCCGGGCAAATTCACTGATGTAAGAGGAGAGTCCAGTTCGTGCCCAAGAGCGAGGAGGTAGAAAGAAACCTGCATAAAAGATTCAAACACAAAAAGACTGATGCTTTTTCCCTATTTTTTTTCTTTTGCTTCCTATATCCAGCTAGTGAAATGCCTACAATAGTCATGATGTTTAACTGGCTTGATTTTAATACAGGGTTTGGTCCCAGAGCTTTGAGGACGCCGTGGGACCCTGTTTTCTTCTTTCTCATTCATTTTTTCTCCAATATTTGTCAGCTTTCAGCTGCCACTGCCTCAAAAGCAGATCCTCCCATTGCTAGACAAAAGTCCCTTTTTGCCTGAGCGAGGGCAGTGACCACGTGAAGACTGCAGGATCTGGCCTTCTTTTTCTTCTCAGATCTCCCTTTGTCTATAGTCATAAATTATAAGACGCTGCCATCTTTTAAATAGATAGTTTCCTGTTCTGCTTCTTGTAGGTTAGATATTATCTCCTACAGTAAATCATGAGTCAGTGATTAATTCAAGAAGGCCGTTCCCAGAAGCAAATTCTTACAATGTTAAAAATAATATGATGTGAATCCATTATAGCATGATATAGAAAATAATTATGGCCTGCAAACTAGTTTAATCAACTTAGAACATGCTGGAGCAGACACTCAGTCGGAGTGAGTCATTGTAAGAAAGTTCACAGTCTTGGCGTATAGGTTGTGCGGGCGAACGCGATTACCCCATGTCAGCTGAGTCTCGGGAACGCTGTACGTGTGCTCTTTGCACACCCAAATTGTGAGGTAAGACATGTTTGTTTAAAACACCTTTGCTGATGTTTAAACTGTATCAAATTACTTTATAAAAGCATGAATTGCTTCAAGAACATGCATGCAGCCAGTTAAGATGTCTCAGCTGATGAGTGGCAACTTATTAAGCTTATTAAATTGTGTCATCTTCATTCTGTCTTAAACAGCTATGCAAAGTCATCAAATATTATAAAGAGTCAAGGTGCCCTGCCTCGCCGCACAGGGGATGTATCTTGCGTTAAAGTGCAGTTTAGAAGGGGAGAGCTCGCTAGGAAACGGCTGCAATGCAGACGTGCTGTGCAGAAAAACCCAAAAACTCTCTCTAAAGAATAACAAAACGATCCAAAAATAACCTCAGCTACAGCAAGACACCATTGAAGGGACAGGAAAGTCCATTAGCAGTGCGTATATTATTATAAACTATCTGATAATTGTTAATAACGCTTTGTGTTTTGTTAACATCTTCCGTATCTCAGAACACGCTCTGAATTCCTGTGGACTAAAGCTTACAACACCCCGGTGAAGCCTGGTCACGGTGGCATGGGTGGGGAGCATCAAGGCGCAGAACAGTTAAGTGACTTACACAAGGGTGAATCAGCAGGAGGTTCAGGAGCTGAACCTGAAGGTTAGGTCCTCAGCTGCTATAAACTGGCACAGCTCCACAGCAAGAGGAAGGGCACAGTCAGTTACATCAGTTGTACGTACGCAGACCTGATTCCCGGCTCTGAGGTTGAACCTCAAAACCCAGTACCTGTTAAACATGTAACATCCACCTGCCTTGAGCTTCTTGGCAGAAGTTCCCTATAACCAACCAACGCAGAGCGGATTTCTGGGATGAAAACTCATGGGATGCCATGGGGTCTTTCGGTATCAAAGGCAGTGATGCAGCAAGGACAGGGGCTGCTGCTGTCCCCGGGCCAGGGATGGGTTCCTCCTCCCTTGGTATTGAAGAGGTACTGCCCGATGCGTGCTCAGGGTTCACAGCAGCTTGGGGTACACCTGCAGCACGGCCCGAGGTGAGACAGCAGCTCGTGCGGAAATACCCGACCTCGCTTCGCGCTCGGTCGTTTCGATACTGGTGCCAAACCGCCCGCAGTGGCACAGACCTCAGAATCGCCAGGCACGGGATAAGTACCTGGCGCAAAGCTGTCGCAGCCACCCTGAGCGCTGTACCCAAACTGGGTAGGTTACAGCTAGTTCTAGTGTTTTCTGGAACATCAAACGTCACTTCACGAACGTTACAGATCAGCTGTGCCCCCTCCTTGTCCTCTCTTCCAAATCTCCTGGCGCGGTATTGATTGGGTGCTGGAGTGGGGATTTTCTCAGTCTTCCCAGCAATGGGTTGCTGAAACACGCTAGAGTTTCCCTTGCTAAAGCCTTGCTTGGACTGGAAACGTGGTAAGATCTTGTGGGCGTTTGCAGCTGGGTAGTTGGAGGTTTTCTTGCATGCAGTGTGTGGAGCCTGGAAACAGAGGGAGCAAGGAGACTGTCAGTAGCTGAGCTGGAAAGAAACCGGGCAGTAACTGAGGCCTGGAATTTACCAAATGTCATTTTAAAGGACAAATCACCTTTTGCATTTTAAAAGCAGCAGAAACTTTGCTGTACAGAATTGATGGCTGCAAGTTCTATGAGATGAAATGGGGGCGAGAGTGACTTTTTCAGGTACTAAGTTTCATTGATTTCTTCTTTTTGGGGTGGAGATGCTCATCAGCTTGCAAAAGAAACCTTAAAGACAACCTTTAAGTCTTGTGTTAGGGAGAACAGATCCTGAAATTACCCACTTTAGCTACAAATTTCAGATAGCTTAGTACAATATTCTAAATGAGTCGAGAAAGCGTGTGTGTATGGATCTTTCTTTACATTTTGGTAACTTAACAGCAGCTCTGCCAATTTTGCTTGGAAAGGTTCATGCAAAATTAAAAAAGGGCCACCTCTGGGTGAGACTGAGCAAAGGGAATTCCAGCCCCAGTAGAAATTTAAAAGGTAAGAGCATGCGAAAAAGCAGCTTAGAATAGCTGTTGGACTCGCACCTTAATGATAACAGTCTGACAAGGAGAAATGATTTTCCTTCTTGGCTGGATTTTAGAAACATCCCAAATACAACACTGAACAGCTATTGCAGTTCAACACAGTCAACGGAGGCAGTTAAAGGCCAGGTCCATAGTCCGCTGAAGTCAATGCAAAGGCACTAGGTGACTTTAGCAGCTTTGGAAACCAGTCTGAAACCAAATGCTTCCTCTTACCGGTGAAGGGAAGCATCCGGTTCCTTTCTTTGGCAACGAGGCGCTGTTGATCTCCGCAGACCGGTGAGTTACACTATGGAATCCTGGGCCTGGCTTTTCATTCTAGCGAGAGAAATATCAGACGTGGTGACCAAGCTGTACGAGTTACCTCTCTCCCGGGGCGAACGCGGTGAGACACGGGCACAGGCTCACACCGATGCTAATGGCACAGCTCCTTTCCCCAGTGCACCCCTGCTCTTCATCTTTCTGAGCGTAGACCAAAACACACCGGTTCTTTCAGGAATAACTGTGAGAACAGCGACGCTGGAACAGAGCCATGGTCCATATGTGCCCATATGTGTCCATATGTGTCTGAACAACCTTTAAACCTCGCTTACAATTGGTCTTACTGGCCCTTATGGCTGGGAGCCCTGCAAATGAACTACTATTAATCCTTATTTTTCATTTGTGTATCTGTTGCTCCAAACAGCTTGCATGGTAAATTACCATCCCAGTTTACAAACGGGGAATGAACACTGTTTGTACAATTATTTCCTTCTTCCAAGTTTACATTTATTGGTTTTTAAGTTTATGCTGATATTCTTCTGGTTTATATGATACGGGAGAAGCTCACTATTTCATTTTTCTTAATTATCTCACATACATTTCAGGCCATCTTATTTGCCTTCTCTCTAAATTAAACATCTTCAGTGTTTTCAGTCTTTACTGGGACTCTAATGATCCTATCTGTTATTTCTAAATTGAGTCCCTTTCTGCCGTAGCCTTTTTTTGGAGTTAGGGTGGCCAGAACTCAACACAACATTCCCACTGAAGGTGTACCAGCAGCATAAACGATGGTATTATTGTAGTTCCTGTATCGTTTTCCAAGCCATCATTTGCACCCCCGAATTTTACGCTTTAATTGTAATTGTGCATTGAGGTAGACGTCTTCATTGTTTCAAAATTACAATCTTTTAATGCAAGTCTCCCGTTGCGTGGAAAATGGAATATTTCTGAGTAGGAGGAAGATCAAATTTCTCTACTGTCTACACGGCAATTTGTGTAGACTGGGAGCCACAGCAAAGCCACAGTCTCACCTGTAACAGCTGAGTCGGACCGGATTAATTCAGCATGTGGGCAGAATGCATTATTTGCAGTCACCACACCTTTCCTGACTCTCTTCTCTTTCTGGGCCTTTCAAAAAGAGGGCTGGGCGGGATTCTATTTATAGGGCCAAATAAATCAAAACCTGCCTGTGTCGTACATGATACCTGGAGCTTATCAGGTGTGATCCCATGAAGTGCTGAACGCCCTTGGTAGCATGCCACACTGCTGCCAATCCCAGGAAAAAAAGTGGGATTTGGGAGGTATGGGACCATACCAGATGAAAGAAATAACTTTGTACTAACATAAATGTGAAATGATTCCAGTGTGTAGGGTGGAAAGAGCTGGAGTCCCTGATCTTTGAGAGCATTCTACCATTATGTGAACGTCATTAATTGTCTTGTCTGCCAGTTACCAATGGAAAATACTCTGGAAGTACCTGGAAGTGACTTAGTTCCTGTTCTGACGACTTCAGAGTTGGATTCTGACAATGATCAGATGCCCCCCAAAAAATAGCACGGGCATAACAGT